GATAGATGGGCAGAGAAGATATGCTATTTGATCTGTTCGTGTTGTACACGAGAACAAAAACTTTACAAAAGTACAGTACGATATGGACGGATAACAATCCGTCTGTCGGATAATTCGCATTGAGTGACAAAAAAAATTCACAAACTTGTGTTGGTCATAATAAGATGATACATCATGAAAATAGCTAAATATGAATAATTATAAAATAATAACTGCATATTGAATATATCAAAGCTTAACCTTTCACAAACAGATAGAAATCAGACAACATTTAAGACAAAGTAATAATCACCAATGAATTGAGGTATCATTCGATACCAATATTGCTGACATACACGAACTTAACGAGCTAGAGGCTTACAATTTTTTTACCACTCAGGATCCGGAAAACTAAAACCAAGAAAAGCTGCAGCACCGAAGATGTAAGAGACCGAAATCCGATAAAATTGAGAATTCAGCCACAAAATAAAATATACATTTCTTTGCACCCGAGTTGCCTAAAAAACACAATTCGTTGATCATTAGATTTCGAGAGTACAAAGTTTATAAATATTTCATATGAGTTTAGTGGTCATAATTGACTATATTACTTATTCCAATTAATTATTCTTTTTTTAAATATCTTCTCGCGATTTATTTTGTGGTCGCAGCTCAAAGAGACGGAAAAGATTTGCTAAAGAGGATGAAATAAGCAGAGGATGAAAGGAAGGTGCAAATCATTAAAGAGAAAAAAGTTGAATAAGGAGCCTCTTTAAGAAATTCTTTTGCTGAACTTCCCTAATTCTGGTTAGGAAAATTAGTTGGGAGCCAATCATTAATAATTTCATCTGTACATGTGAAAGCCCAACCATATTTATTAAGCAACTTGTTTAATTTTGAAAAACCAATATCATTTCCTCTGGAATTTTTGGATAGAGGAAAGGAACCCGACTTCGTGATTTTAAAAACAAATGAAAAATGGAGCTTTAAAGTAAAACGAATTGTTTGTACAATTTCATCTCTGAAGCCCACAGATCTGGTAACAACAGAATAACTTGATCCAGTGTTCGTGAGTGAAAAAGTGGTCGATACGTCTAACAACGAAAACATGAATAGAATAGGAAAGATAATCGCTATTAAATACCTAGAACATCGCTGAAAGCTGTACCAGGTCCTGATGGACATTGGATCAAAACCCTTTACTCCTAACTTGTCAAATATACCATTTTTTGTAAATTATCAGTAAATGTCTGTACGTTGTAAGTAATCAGTTAAAATGACTGATTGATAAATGACTGATTTTCTTCCCCATAAAATTCTAACCTTCTGACACAGAATTTCCACCCTTTTTGTAAAAATTATAAATTTAGATGCTGCCCTCATCTATTAGCGGCTTTTTGTGGTCAATGAAACGGTGACAAAAAGCCTCTAATAAGTTGATATTTTTTTACACACTATAATACAGGGTGGGTTTAACTTCTGCTTACTCTATATTTTTTTAATGAGGCGTTATTGTGAAAATCCCCAAGACACGTAAATTGTTACTTTTTGTCTATTTTCTTATGGCGTCAAAAAGTTTTGATATAACTATACCTGATAACGGGTTAAAAGAATTCCTTAAAATTTGTATTTGTAAACCGATTTTTTTTCATTAACCTATGCGTCTAGAAATTATTGTATCACGAGCAATTAATCTACTGTCGATTAAAAAGATAAATACATGAATTGGTTCTTGGTTGAAGAAGTTTAGAAGAGTTCGTTTATATATTTAAAAAAAATTGTATTTGAAATAGTTAAATTCCTATCCGTTATCCTTGAGAGTTAAATCAAAACTTTTTGGTACATGAGAAACTAGACAAAAAATAAAAGTTTATGTGCCCGGGGGTTTTTATCAAAAACGCCCCTATAAAAAATATATAGGGGAGAGCCGAACTCACCCTGTATATCGTCTGCGTACAGATGTATCTTTATTACTTCAATAATTCAGATGTATGAATATAAGGACGTTCTGTCATGTTTTCCAATTTATATCAGAGTTCCCTATCATGTTCTATAACTAAGTCCTAGACCTCACTACGTTTCCAATAATACAAATAAATAATATAGAATAAACGTATGAGGAATTGAACCATATTGACTTGTTGATTTCTGAGCATGAAAGTCTTAATTTATAATAAAGATTTAAAAGTACTTGTTTATTAACTGATTTTAAGTAAGTGGAGGTAATATTATTGATTGTGTAATAACCCATTACTGCTTTGACCAGCAAATTAATAGAAATGATGAATGGCTGACTTTTGCAATTCATGTGGAGAAACGTGGTTGTAGAACTCCTTCAACCTGATGATGAGCTAAGGGCTCGAAATCCGGATCGTTGCAAAACAACTTACTGTGAGTAGGAACTATCTCTTTAAAAAGGATTAAACATATTAGTTCTTATCCTATCATTTAAACTTTTTTTGTGTATGTAATAAATTATGAAATAGCATTGTTGTATGAATGGTCACACGATCATAATTTAATAGAAGTATAGTTGTAGCGATATGCTTGTCTGAATTGCTGAAGGTTCGTGATGGTTTGCTGTAAGATGAGTTGTGTTGTTTGATTGACGTCATTATCACTAAATGATTTTATATTTTCTTTGTATCTTTCTTTTATTTTTCGTTCTGTCTGTTTGATGTATTTATTTCCGTATTTTCATGTTATGGCGTGTATGCCTTTTTTCCAAGTGGGTTGGTTTTGTCAATATTTTATTCTTAGTATTTTCCCATTTTGGTCACGGTCATCTAGGCTGTTTTAATTTCTAATCTGTTGAATGTATTAGTTTGTGTGTACGTTTGTTTTTCTACTTATGGTAGTTCACATAATGTCTCGTTTTGCGGCGTCGTTTTGGTTATGATTAAGAAAAATAAATAATAAACAAAACGCACCTATTTGACAAAAAAAACCAAACTTAATCCGCCTAAGGCAACAACAAGCCAAAATAATGCCTACACACGCTCCCCACACTTCATAACTTTATGAAAACAAAACTTCCTGAAATCACAGACATGCTGATGATGGCGAAATCCCAACACGGCGAGGATAAGCAGACTAGGATGATCAAGGATGTTCTTAATTTACATCTACAAGCGATTAACAAGACTTTTCAGTAAAGTTCATAAATAAAATTTAATTAAAATTATTGTTGTAAAAGACGGACTTTTTTTTCATTTTGAGTTTTCCCATCTAAAAATCCATACAATCTCATAAATTAGTTTACCAAATGAATTTCGTGTAAAATGTTTTAATTTTTAGAACAGAATAGAAAAAAACAACTTACAATCCTATTAAAACATTAATTATATCTACATAAATGATCAATTAATTTAAGTAGAAATATATTATTTTATTTAGGGTAGATTGTTGTATGACCAAAGGATGAAACTGTATTGAAAATAATTCTCAGAAATGCTTTGGTTTGGGGTTTTCATAATAAAAGAACAATACGTTTAAAAATATTTGCTTGTTCGCCATGGATCATTTAAAAATAACCTTCTATTGTTTCTAGGGCCCTTCTGCTGTACTTTTTATGCTAATGATGTATGCTTGTTTAAATTAATTGGCATCGAAAATCATAAAAATGAAACTCAATACAAAATCAGTGTAAAAATAATATGTTTAGATAAGATTTTAAATAAGAAATTGTTTTTATTTAATTTATCCATTTTTCAATGCGTTTTGAACAAGCAGCGTTTAATGAACTTTCTAGGTTTTTGTGCCCTTTTTTCTCCCAAAATATAACCCTTTAACGTGAAGTGTATATAATTTTCCTAATTGTTCCTTGAGTAACAGTGGTTGATTGAGTCTTTCGTACAGGTTTATATAATTTTATGATAATAATAGTTATTTGTTATTTTTAAAGGGGGGGCACTAGACAATATTTTACGGGCTATTTTGACAAAAGACGAATACCAAATTTTCTAAAACGGCGGCTTAACGTAGTATCATATCTACTCAGTATAAAAACGACTTTATCTCATCTGAAATACTGGCGATTTTGATTTTGCAACATCTTAGTCTTCTTGCACCAGACAATATTTTTATAAGTCTTTTGTATTAAAAATTCAATTACAAATAATTTATTTGACAGATTACAATTCGGCGAATTATATTTTTGTAAAATTCATCCGTATGTCGAGTTCGAAGCGTGAAAATTGCCTGTCACGGACTGGAAAAAATATTTACATTTTCCTCTGATTTCCCCGCCTCTTTTTCTCTTGTATGTAGATCACGTTTAAGCAGTACGATAATGCAATTTCCACGCACATGACCGAATCCTTTGGTATTTTCCAGGAGCAATAAGAAGCTTATATTTCAAAACCGACCATTCAGGCAGCCCATAATTCATAACTTTCCAAGCATTGAAAGTAAGTAAAAAGATATAAAACATCACAAAATCCATCTATTTTCCTTTCTAAAACATTGCAAACAATGTAAATTTAACAATTTTATTACAGTAGAGAAAGAAAGAGAGAGAGAGAGAGAGAGAGAGAGAGAGAGAGAGAGAGAGATGGTGAAGGATTACCAGCGGATTCCCCGATTTTTTTTTATTGCATATGCTAACATTCTTTTTCTATCTGCTGGTTGTTTGAACGTACACTATGGGCAAGGTCTTTTGATCTCGTCGTGCCTATTTTCTTCCATTTCTGCTTCTTCGTCACCGGTTAATGTGCCAGGCAACCCACACCCTTTTTCCACTAACATTAATATCTGCGAAAGCTCTTTTTTTTAAAAAGACATGTGCAATTTATGAATGTATTTTCCTCTGTCCTTCAGACTATTCCTAGCACAAGACAGATAATATTCAGCTCCACCGTACTATATTTTCGACAATTTTCAGTTACATTTTACCCGATTTCCCTTTTATTTTAATTGTTTACATATAGTTTTTTCAAAAACATATTTATATAATAAAATATAATGTAAATTTTATGTTTATAGTATTAAAAATAATTGTTTGATTGAAGAAGAACACTCACCCTATTTCTTTCGAATTCTTGTCTGGATGTTTCAACGATTTGGGCGTTCGTCAGAGCAATGCCGACGAATTGAAGATATGTCTCGAAAACCTGTTGGGCAAAAACTAATATAGGTAACATGTTTTTATTTTATTTTTTAAATTCAATGAATACTGCACGAAGGGTTGGTTCCAAGGGATGAAATAAGTATGTCGGTCTGTTCTGGAACCTAAATACCCGGCTTTTGTGTGATGAGACTATTTTTTTTCTTAAACAATTTGCCAAGAGTAAACCTACTTAGCATTAGTAAACAGGACCGATCGATCCGCTGGCATTTGCCCGTAATGGCAAACAAAGAACATATGGCTGCTTGTTCCGAGGCTTTCGACTGTTTAATACTCAAACAGGCCGATGGTAGGTCACCGGGGTTACGCAAGTATTTTATAAATTGTCCAAACACATTTATCGAGAATTGTGCGACGGAAATTTGATATTAGACTTGAAATTAATTACAATTTTTAGCTTTAAATAATTGATCGGTTCCGTGACAACCTTGATCGGTAGAAAAGGCAATATATGACTTCACTTATGACGTTTCACTAACCCTACCATCATTAATAACCTGTCATATCTTGTGACCTAACCAAAATGTGTATACTTTCATATAAAATAGTCTAGCGATTTTATATAAATGTTCGCCTCAACAGAACAAATATTAATTTTGAGTTTTCTTTAATGTTCAGTTTTATTACATTTACTTTAAAATGGAAGTATATTATAAAAATAAACACATTTTGATATACAAGCTAGTATAAGACTAATATAGGAAAAACGTAATAAATAAACATAGATTTTCGAGGAAACTTCATAACTGTAGCTAAAAAAAAGTTATATTTTATTATAAGTAGATACTATTCAGCAAAATGAATATGAATTTCATTTTGTTTTATGATTTCCGTTTAAATGCTATTAGATATAGAAACATATACCTGTATCAGAACTAACATAAAGAATTAAAAATTTCAAATAAATCAGGACAAGGCAACGTCACGTATTGATTTCGATTTTCTCAAAACATTCTGAATTTTACATTAAATTTGTTCGTTTACCTTTTCGTCTTTTGTTGTGAAATGTCCATCATCCTTCTCCGGGTTCTTGTTGATGACCTGTGCCACTGCGATGATTTCATCGTGTGCGTTTCTGACTGCCATACAGAGAAGGGACTCGGTATGATATCCGGTTATCCTGTCGACTTCATCATCGAAACGCGGGTCCTGGGGAGTAGAAAAAAGTTAATTAAAGCCAGGATCATAGGTTAGGCAGAAGGCCCAAAACGATTATTCCTGTGTATTGTTTGTACCGTGAATTTTTTCCCTCACTGACAACCATCCTTTGAAACAGACTCCATTTATTTCAATATGAACGTTTCCATTTTTAAACGTCGCAACTTAAAAGAATAAAAACAAATACCGAAATAATATAAAACAATTATCATTGTTTTAATGTATCAATTTCGCATGTTTATTTGTGGGGTAAATTATTAAAATAAGACTTATTGATTATAACAGTATGGGGCAACATAAAATTTGTGAGAATTGCTTTTTTGAGCAATCAACTTAAGGTGATTCTATATAAACCTTCAGAACTCTATTGTGACGAAAGAGCGCTGAATACGCTTTGCGTGACTATAAAATGACCTATCCTCGGCCATATACCATGTATTAATAAGATGTTTCTGATCAGTTTCAGAATATTTTTCGGGTGGATGCTTTGAATTTTGTCACTTCCTTTATAAACTTTTAGAGAATCTATTCTACAGCGAATATAGGCTAAACCTATATGGTACGGTTCAAACTGTCGCACTCCTCAGTTTACTTTAAGCTTAATTTAATTTTCTGTTTTCTTTTAATCTTTACCTCGTTCAAGTACTCAGTCTACCTAGTAACAAATAGTATCTTTTTCTATCGAGAGGACAGCCTCGTTGATACAGGATGTCATTCCAACATGAATCAAATTTATGACAATTTGATAACTTGTACCACCTTGATGCTGTATGGAACAGAATAAACAAATTATTGCAACCTTTAGATTTAATGAAGTTTAATTGCCCACACGACTTGAATTCCATGTGTAAACGAAATACAATGCGATGTGTAATGATTTGTTGATAATCATTGGCTAATATTATTTAGCTCATTATAAATACTCGTTAATAAAATATTACTGACCATTTAAAACACTGGAAAAATATTGTTAAATAAAACTGGTCAACTTCTTTTTAAACGCCACTGAATATAAAATTGTATTTGACTCACTTTTACTTGGGGAAAAAAGCAGATGAGTTATGACAGCAAGCGCAAAAAAAGGTTGTCCTGCATTGCGTTAACTGACTGACCTATATATATATANTTTTCTTTTTAGATGGCTCGGCTGATTTCTCTTGAACCAATGACGTTATTCAAAATTTGGAAAAAAATTATACAGGGTACCGCAGGCCAAGTTCATATAAAGAATTTCAAATATGACCCTATACATTTTGACACATCATTTTAAAGGATTTTTTACGATGAAAAGAATGGTGCAATCGGTGTTTAATTGGTCAAAAAAGAGGAAAAATAGTGTTCCAACACCAAGAAACCGGCATCGTAATTTCGTCGAGGAGCTGCTTATTTTACTGTATTCTAATTAATTATTCTTTTTATTTAAGTTTTTTCAGTTGAGATTCAAACCTTAGATAAAAAGAATAATTAATTTGAATAATTATTATGGTCAATTAAGACCACTAAGCAAATATGGATTAATTTTATTGTGTGTTCGCGAAAATCCGAATTCCTCTCTCCGAAATATTAGACGGGTTTTAGTTTTGCACGGTTTTACAAACACTATTAGATGATGTTCCTTTGCAACAACGACAAAGAATGAATCTCCAGGTTGATGGATGCCCCGCACACAATTCTTTCCAGGTGAGACATTATTTGATACGTCACTTCCGGGAAAGGTGGATAGAACCTCATGACCCGATCTGTTGGCTTCCTCATCACCCGATTTAACTCCACCTGACTATTTTCTGGGGGCCATTTAAAAAACAGTCTCTATGCCAATCATAACCCAGCAACCTCTGTTGAAGAACTGCGACAAAGAATAGAAAATGCTTGTCAATCTGTCTGCCCTGGCTCTATCGCTCTGAGCAAGACGTGAAAAGTGGTTAAAATATTTTTAATCTTCTTTTAAAGCAAATCTTTGCATCTTTTCGCAAGGGAGGCAGTTCGAACATGAAATAAAACTGATAAATAGCAAACCAAATTATTGTTTGTTTTTTAAATTTTTTAACAATAACGCTGACGATTTCTTGGTGTTGGAATTGCAACTGATCCGAATGTTCTTGTTGCGAGCAACACGAATACATTTTTGTGGTTTATTCTGGGGTGATCAGGAAATTTCTGGGAATACAATTCGACTGCACGATGCAGCAATACCACCACTATCAATAAAGCGTTCATATCAACTCGATGTTGATCGGAAAAATATGCTCTTCGGTTCATTTTGAATGGTATATTGAATATAACGAATAGGTATTACTGTAAAATTTACTTAGTTCCAGGAATTAAAATTTGCGCTTATAATGCGAGTTTGACAAACAATGACAGAATGTACACAATAAAGGCCAACGTTTTTCCAGAACTTCTCATTTTTTGACCAATTTAAAATCCGATTACACCATTGTTTTCACCGTATAAAATCCTTTAAAATGATGAGTCAGGGTATATAGAGTGGTATGTGAAATTTTGAAGTTGAACTGGGTTTAGGTACCCTATATAATTTTTTTCCCAAAAAAGGTAAAAATTTGAAATTAGACTAAAATATATTAAATACGTATTTTTTGTCCTTTTGATAGCATCATTGGTTCAAGAAAAATTCAGCCGGGCCTTCTAAAAAGGACACCTTCCTCGCTGTATATGCATATATGTACCGTGTGTTTTATAATTTTTACTATTTGAAATGTCAAACATTGTTATGCACCAATTTATCGATCAGCCAGTAAAATTTGTAAGAAATAATGGAAATAAAACTAATTAATTTTCTAAGTAAACGTTTGCCAGATTGAAACTTTAGTTGAACTTCTCTGTTCAACCGAATTTCTCACGGGAGAATTCGTTAGACAAATGTTAAATCGGTCACGTCTTGAGACAAACATTACTTTCCAATGGTGACGTAATCTTTCTTATTTAACTTTTACACTAAGCTGTATTTTTTTGCCGAATGAGGAGTTAGAGTTTGACGGTAAAAGTATTAGAAATTATTGCGATTATTGGTTGATGCAAAATTAATTCATGTTTTGAAAATTTGTTTTATTTTCGCAAGTGCTTGTCATGCAAACAAAGCTAATCTTTAAATTTAATTTATAGATAATAATAAAGACTGTTAACTGTTATCTTTTATCCAAACCATTTTAGTTTATATTGATTTTTATAATAGAAAGAAACTGCGAAATTAAATATGTCTAAACTACATTTGCGTCAAATTTATTTGTACCAATGTAAACTTGGGCGAAGTGCAGCACAAACCGCGCGTACAATTTGGGGGGGAGGGAAGCAATAGCGAATACATTGTGCAGCCATTATTTCAGAGATTTCGATCTGGAAAGCAGGGAAGGTCGCGTATGCCTGGAACAAATTACGAAGATTACGCAAAAGCTTAGGGTTGACTACTCAACCGTTGTTCGCCATCTGGAGCAAATTGGTAAAGTGAAGAAGCATGACAAGTGGGTACCGCACGGACTAACCGAAGCCCAAAGAAATCAACGCTTTGAAATTTCCACGTCTCTTCTGTTGCGCGACCAAAATGATCATTTCTCGTTCGAATCAGGAGGCGTACAGGTCAGTGGTTGGACAAGGCTGAAGCGCCGGAACACTTCCCGAAACCAAATCTGTACCCAAAAAAGGTTATGGCGAATGATTGGTGGTACTGCAGGGGTTGTTCGCTATAATTTCCTGAATTATGGTGGAACTATCACAGTAGAGAAATAGTGCCAAGAAATGGAAAAAATGCATGGGAAATTGCAACGTACTTCGTCCAGCCTTGGTGAACCGTAAGGCTGAAACGTGTACTAAAACTGATTTAAGTCGCTTTCAATCTCAAACTAAAGTTGAACTACAAAATTTAAATCGCTTTTAGCTTCTTCAAAACCGGCAGTGGGGAGTCGAATTGATGTCCGATTAAAAAAGGGGTGCGGTGGTGACAATCGAAGACTATACACTTCCGCACGACAGACATGTTATGCGGTATGGTATAACCAATGAATAGTGATACATTGGGCCTTATTTATTTTTATTTTTTCTCCATGGAATGCCGACATGAACATTTCAGACTTCAACGCTTGCAATTTTTAACCTAAACACACACACATGTAATATGTTAATTAGCCATACTTACAATAACTCTGCACCCTCAGAACAAAACTGGGTACGTCCAATATTGGAAAAATGAGATAAGTGTTTTTAGGCCTGACAGATTGCGTATAATTATTAACGTCGAGAAGAAAAAGATAAAAAGTTGTTAAAAAATTGAATTTCTACCAAAGGTCTAAACTTTAAAACCGCAAGCCTGAAAAACTGTGTCCTTGGGCTAACCCAGTTCTGACCTGAGGCTCCCAAAACTAGTCATGTTGAAAATCGATGGGTACTCAATATTCCGCCATCGACTCTTTTGTACCACGCATATAAATACTACCTCACAATGTGGTTAACACCGAGTGCATCCATCACAAAACTTTTTATATAAACAATAATAGGATTATCTACAATAAAAACCATTCGTGTTTGCTTCATAAAGGGGAGCCTAAAAAATTTCGAGACGTCTTTGAGCTCAATTTTCATATCAAGGAGGCATTCCTACTTGTTCATGCTATTATATGAAGCCAAGGAATGATACTCTTCAATCAACTGGGAAACATTCAGCAACATTACTGAATGCCCTTTCCTCCAAACAGAAAACAAAAACGCGAGTAAAGCCAATTCTAAGACGGGTTAGGATGATTCGTCTTCTGCCACGCGTTTTGTGTTTGAACAATCGATTTCTTTTATGGTCTTGCTTCAAAGAATCTGAATTTGTGTTGTGGTGCTACTGCGAGGACGGCCTTGTGTATTTCTAGAAAAGACGCAACAATGTTTCAGCTTTCAGGCCCATAAATTACCTAAAAGTTCGTGACAGCGCTTTAGTACTTTTTTTTGTTCCTGTGTTTGAACAGAAGGGATTACGTAAAACTCGGCCTTAGCGAGAATCGAAAATAGATTCTGGCCGGTAGAATGTTGATGTAGTTGAGTGAACTTTGATCAATTGTCGAAAAGATCAAGGCCAGCGGGCTGAGCAATAACGCACCTTTTTTCTTTTTTGGCAGGGAAGGTGATCTAACTGTACGATTTGCTTTCTTTAAACGTTTGCTGAACGTGTCGTATGAATCGATAAAATTATGTCATTTCAATGTTAAGTACATAATTATTTCGTGTCAGTGGGTCAACAGTAAAAGTTTTCTTGTCGTGGCAAGTTTTCCGATGAAGTTGAAGCAATCTGTTGAAAAGTGGATCGAGGAATTCTCTCGCGACCTTCCATGTAGCTGATTAATTCCGCAAACTTTTCAATGTCGCATTTGTCGGGTAAATGCGTGTCCTTTGAATAGACAAACCCACACCACATCCGCTGGTAAATAGATGTCAGAACAATTGAATTACCGATGAATTGAAAATGAAACAGTTCTCTAGAAAAGTTACATTCTACTCAAATTTTTGTTTTCTAAGTGAGAGAAGGTTTAACATAAACTTTGTTCAGATTAAATTTCGAAAGTCTTATAATAAAATCTAAGTAGGTCTCGGGAATGTATATAAGTATAATAATCCATATTTATACGTTAGGTTGATATAAACTTTCTTACACTGGGAAATTGCACAAAAGCAAAAATTGTCTAATATCATATTTTACATCCAATCAGGATTAGTTTCAAAACGGATGTGGCCAATGGAGTAAACGTTCGAAAGTAATAGCAAAAACGGGTAATTTTCTTATTGGTGCAATACCAGAGCAGTAGGGGACTTTTCGAATTCTCAGTAAATGTCAATGAACTCCGGAACAATAACAGAGGGGGTTAATATAAAATACGTTACGTACTCTTTCTCCTGTACATCATTCCGCTTTGGCGGCGATGCGAATAATTCACGTGACCCCTCACATAATTTGCACAAATCTGCATTTTAATTTAGTGGTCGTTGAGGACGTGGAGGGCGGGTTCAGTATTTCAAATTAATTCGCCAACCAAACAAAGATTATTGTAGGGTAAAAAATTTCTTTCCTTTTTAGCGTTAAAAAAGTTAAAAAAAACAATAGATAGGAATAAGTGTTTGCTATTTCGTACCTATTTAGTGGAATTGAGAAAGCGGCTGTTACAAAAATATAAAATTTATTTTTAAATCTTACTAGGAACTAAATAGAGTCACCATAAAAGCTCAATAAAAATTTAGTTAATTTGAAGATTGTTTTTCTTTCGAGTTAATTCAACATAGTAACATAAAATTTTGAAAAATACGTAATGAAATTAAATGAAAAATAAACGATTATCCGGAGATCGTGGGATGCGGTCTGGTGTGACGTAGGTTTTAGAAAAGCATTTTCCTTATCCATGTCAACGTTTCGATCTTTAGTGAGATCATCTTCAGAGCCTGATATTTATAAACATTGCTTGAATTTTACAAATACATGTAGCATATGGAAAAAACATACATGTATTTGTAAAATTCAAACAATGTTTACAAATCCCAGGACCTGAAGATGATCTCAATAAAGATCGAAACGTTGGCACGATAAAGAAAATGTTTTTCTAAAACCTACGTCACACCAGACCGCATCGCACGATCTCCGAATAATCATTGACTAACGGTCACTAAACACCACACATGAAAAATAAATTTTATTCTGTGACTTAAAATTCCATTGAATAATTCATTACGAATACAAAGAGTTTACGAGATTCAGGACTGTAGAAAAAATTATAGTTTACAAAATATATCCCAAGAAAATACCATATATCCCAGAAAACAGATGAAATTAAACTAAAAGACAATTAAAAACCTTTGGTGTAAAGTTGTAAGGACAAGAGTTATCATCCTGTTAGACCTTAATCATAAAAAGTAATCGTAAAAACATTCACTAGGCGTTTAACCTTATTGTCTTCAAAGTTTGTAGTGAGTCCGTACACATTACATCCCTTATCAAATAAGGTAGTATACTAGAAGTTTACGCGCTTATTAAAGGGGAGAAAAAAGAAATCTGGTTTCCAAGACTAGGTTTGATTAAGGACAATCCAAAAGTTCTTGAATGGGGACAGTAGAAAATAAGGTGATTTCTAATAGCAAACGGAAGTATAAGTTAATGGAAAAAAACTGGCTCCAAACACGACAGCCTGGGAATTTTCAACGTTGCAGTTCAAAGACCCAGGAACTAATTGAGTTTAATTTTGTTCTGTATTTGTGTTTTTATGTTTGACATTTGATATATTTAAAAACATTGGGGTTCAGAAACACAACCTAAATTTTGTAACAATAATCCTGATATGAACTTTCATTACTGAAAAATATTTTTCTCACTGAAATTACCATAGGATTATCTTACCTCGCAAGCTACTTGGAGACGTACGGTTTCCCCAGTTTCCGCGACATGCCCGAGCACGCCAACTCCCCAGGGCACTTGTACTTCGTTGTCGCCGGAGCTGTAGTTCGTCGGAAGGAGGAATCTGCCTGCGCCCGAGTGGACGTCGAAGACTTTGCTTACGAGAACCCTTTTGCCTTTGGGACCTTCGACCAGGAAGAGAGATGCTCCGTCTGAGTCGAGTAGAACGGCCAGGTTGTCGACCGTTTTACGCGAGAGGGATTTCAGGTCCAGGTCGGTCGCGATGTCTCTCACCGAAGATAGGAAAAACTGGCGTTCTCCTTGCTGGCGGAGCAATTCCTTCTTTGCAGACCTGGAATGTGTAGGGCCCGCATCGGGCAGTCGTACTTTCGACTCGATGAGAAGGGAAAGCATGTGTATCGAATTAGGCGGAAGGGAGCAATACCTAAACATTATGCGTGTCATTAATCAGAACGTATTCGGGTATATTTCAATACGTACTTCCTCATGTCCTTTAGGGAAGATCGTCTTGTTGCCTGCATTTCCCTAGGAGGTCCCATCACCTCGTGGGTCCTGAATACCGAGCGAGACTTTGCCCTGGCGAATTCATGCCTCAAGCAGCGTTTTGAAGACGACCGCCTGTGCTGCGTCTCCTCGGGTTGAGGGCTGCCGGATCCGCGTCTCGTGTAATCTTGAATAGTGAGAAAACCGTGGGATACTAGCCAAGAATTGATCGACGCCAGTTCCACCTTCCTTAGAAAGTAGTCCTATAAAAGTCATTGTTTGTTAACTCGACGTTCAAGTAAGCTCATCGATTTTTAACAGCTTTGTCTACTGACCTGGAAGAGGTCTGGGTGAGCGTCCAGCCACTCCTCGACCTCGCTCCAGCGGAGCTGTGTCATCTTTGTTGAAATTTAAAGCGCGTCTACATTATAGAGAATCCACACAGTCCACCTCCTGAAACAAATTAAAGTATAAATTAAAAAAAGCTTTATAAGTGATAAATTGATTTTTTTGATAATACATAATTAGCCTTTAATAAAAAAATTATAGGAAGGTAAAAATATATTCAGTGTTCATGCAAAGAACTTCATTTTGTCGTTATAAAGGTTAGAAGTCTGAAGCTTGTTCAGATCTATATTTTATCAATTACGCTGACCTGGTGGGGACAATTCCAATTTTTTATGGTAATACTGAGCTATCTTATCGTTCGTAGACCCCTGACGATGCCTAACTTTCATACCTTTTGAGCATATTTCATTCAACTAGTTTTCCCGGCTAAATTATTTTTATATTTAAATGCATTTTCACATATTATTACATAAAATCTCTACTATAAAATGTGCGCGCGTGTGTGTGCGTGTGCCAGCGTGCGCTAAAATAATGTGAATGTATGGCATTATTAAGTTGTGTAAAAGTAAATATTCTGTACTATACTATTTATATTTTTTAACTTCTACATAGCATATGAGGGGTATTCGAAAGCTTTACTATGATATTACTATCTTCTTTAATCAATCAATAAAATGGTAAAAGGGCCTTTTATTATGTACTCTCAATACAATATCCTAAACGATATATTCGGTCTATGATCATAAATAAAACAGCATCTGCTATCAAACCCCTTAGGACTAATAAAATGCCGTGTAACAGCGGTTTACTTTATCATTTAGTAATAGGTAATATACTTTAATGACTCTGATAAAAAGGCGATTAATCTAGAAATGACAGATTTTATATTGGATGTAATGTCGGCGTGACCTAATTTATCGGAATCCGACCTTCAGCCCGAAAAAAAATCGACGTGTAAAAAACCGTAGGATGTCGGTTACGCGATACACGGTCGGGGTTAACCCCCGGTTTTTCTGGCAGCCGAGACCGGTTTGTCATTCGGGCAGGGGTTTCCTCTCCTTTTACCCTCAATTTGTCCTTGAATGCTCCGTGATTGGTTGAGAACAATCGAAGTTGATCCAATAAAAAGGGTCGCGAAAAGGGGTTGAGGGACGGCGCGGCTAAGTCCTTCCTCAGCAAGTTCTCATCACGGTTCACTTGTCTCCCAGGAGGATTTTTTTTTCATTGAAATCCCTTTTTATGTTAACACAAACGGTAATAGACTGGTTACTAACTAAATTTCATTATTGGTTCAAAATTTCATGTTGTCAGATAATCAAAAAAATTTTAAATTCATTTCTGGCCCGTGTATACGACAGTTTTTCGGCCCTGAACCCTTTTATGGCGTACAAAATTGCCAAAAACATACCAACCATTAGATAATAGGTTAAGAATAACTGTTCGGCTGGTAAAAAAAAAAATTCAAGTGACCTGCGCTGAAACTAACGGCAGGGGTTTAAGCCTATGACTACTATGATAGTACAACTGCTGAGGGGACACTCCAGACTCCATATAAACTCGGAGAAGCAGACACAAGTCTGGGAAGATATGACCAGGAAGAAGAAGAACCAGAGAAACATCTCCTCGTTAGTTCGAAGGCCTTTCCAGTCTGAGATTCCATCCTGGAAGAGGAAAAGCCAAGGCCTGATGGATATACACGAGAGGCAATAATAAACTTTGGGATCTACAAAAAGTCTTAAGCCTAACGAAGTGGTCTAGATAATAATGGGGTTTGCTCAATAGACTAATATTGGTCGCCCTGCGTAATATCGTAAAAAGGCCGCCTCCTTTTAACCTGAAACCGATTAACAAGTTAGTTGGTACTTTATACATAATAAACCTGCCAAGTTGATACTTTCTGGTATGATTTTATATCTGAAGTACTTTGTGGGGATTCCAAGTCAGTGTGCTTTCTAGCTAGATAAGTAGGTAAAGGTTTATTTGTAAATATACTTTGCTCCGTAAATTATTTAACAAATTATATTAAAATATAATTATTATATAGTTACGTTATATTGTACTTCCAAACTCTAAGGACCTAACTTGGTTGGTTGCTGATATGCAGTGGTAGTTAAGTTTGCATTGTCTATGAATATATCTTAAGATCTTGTAAATAAATAACTTCGTCTATCATCCTCGATGGTGTGGGGACCTAATACAAAGTATAATGTATAACTATCCAAAGTATAGTTTCTTGTTCCACTGGGTTTGTTAAGTTGACAAAGTTGATAAGTTAATGTACGGTGAAGAGCATGTATTTCCATGTATCCACTTTTAACACTAGTTTTTAATAAGTTCAAAGTGCTTGTGGATGTTTGAGGTAGGTTGGGATTGGTATTGTTGGTACCGAGACATATACGTAAGTCCGCACATAAATAATATTCCATCGTGTACCAAGAATGCATATGGGACGCTATCTTGGTTTAAACTCCGCATATTCGCCGTCACAGTCAGTTAAATAGGATTGGATGGTAATATAATAAGTATGTGTGAAAGTTTATTGACAATTTCTCGGTGCCAGACCCTTTAAAAATCCCAGACCTCGTCTAAATCGATAACCATAAAATGAAATGTCGCCAGACATCTTTTGGAAAGGATCCAACATAATCCATTCACGTAGATTCCTTTTTCGGGTTTCTCATCAACAATTCTTCATAATACACATATTTATATACCATTAATATGTAATGTTATTCTTGCTTAACAAAATATCGTATTTTTGTTCATTTTTTATTGTGAATAAGATATAATTCTTACGCTAAAATAAATTAGGTCACGGAAAAAAATACTTTGTAAGGATTTGTCAAAAAAAGTCCTGTTTGTATCTGATTTAGTACTCGTTATCTTTCTATTTAACGTGCCATTCGTTACCAAAGTTTTAGTATCTTTTTTATGTCAAACTCTGTTTTACCGTTTGCTTGATTCATTTTAAAATTAAACTGAGAACTAAAGATCGTAGCTTTGATTAAACAAATTATTAAAGATAATTTTTATTTCAAATGGTTTTCTGTGCACGAGTTGTTGAATAGTCCCAACTCTTCACTGGCAAAAAACTTTGGGTGAGAAAAATCCCTGGCGACGGTATAGATTTAGTGAAATACAATATAACAATCATTGTTCTTTAAAAATAAAAATATGAAAGTCTGATTTTAGATAAATATGGAAAAAAGGAAAGAAAATGTGAACGAGAGCCACGAGATGCATAACCGTGTTGTGTATAAAACATGAATGGAAATGAGGTCGATTTCATTTGTGTCTGCATGTTACGGGCGTGTGTTTCCTATATTTCAACGTCGTATTATCATTTCCAGTGACGTTGTAGTTGGTGAGAAGGGGTTCCCGGTAACAAATCCGGGGGTGGACCGTATTTGCATCCACCCCTGCTTGAACCCCAGCTGACCCTGCTCTGTTTGGGTCAACAACCCGCTGAGTCTTCTAACCGGAAACTAAATTTCCGCTTTAAAAGTCGCGTTTGACGAGTGGACGGAAGTATGGATTGTGTTTATAAGAACTTTTCAAGGAGTGGGCGGACGTCTTCGACCCCGGCTTGTGATCGCCATTAGTGAAATTTCGTCCCAAAGAAAAAAAGTCTATACGCTTACTGGCCCACACCAATAAACTTACTTTAAAAGTTTGACTCGTCGGAATTCGTAATGGGCGAAAGGAAAGGGAAACTTTTGAGGCATATCGATTTTACTTGATAGATCATCTTTTCTGTTTAAAATGTCTCGAAATTGAAAAGAGGCAAAAATGCATTTGACGTTATTTCTCTTTGGATGTTCAATATTTTCAGAATACATCATAAAGTATTTTGTATTAATTAAATATTAATATGTTTAAACATAATTTTTTCCTATTCTTCTGGAAATTGGTAAAGAATGTTAATAATTCAAATCAATTCAGCGACATTTTTTTCATTCTAGTGGATTTTCTTCTTTTTCAAAGGTGTAAAACAAACTCTATTAACGCCTAGTTTTCAATAAGATATATTAGAGGTATTCGTGCAAACTGTAGCAATATTGAATTAAAGTCGACAGGTTTAGGGATAAAAGTGTGCATTATAGGATCTAATAACACACTCGCGACACTTGCACGCTAGTGTTAAAAGCTTCTTTTACTTGTTCGCTCTTTTGGGTTGGTGGGGACGATAGTCCATTATTTTACTTTGTCATTAATTTTTTTTAATATAGCCTTATATAAAAATCAGACATTAATTTTTCTAAATGGGGACTACCTATTCTCTAACTACTCTTCAAACATCAAATGTAAAAAGTTTATATTCAGATGGCTCAAAAACAAATGAAGGAAGCGGATCAAGTCCATCATTCTATACAAGTCCATTCACTAGTTTCGCGGTCCGCTTAACCAATTAATATCTTTCAACTAATTGAGGTTTTTAGTTGAGATGAAAAAGTCAATGTCACGAGCGGGATTGGAACCCACGACCTTCGCCGCTACTCTACCACCTGAGCTATCGTGACTTCGATCCGCTCGGACACCAACTTCCCAACTCAATTCGAATCCCGCTCGTGACATTGACTTTCTTATCTCAACTAAAAACCTTAATTAATTGAAAGATATTAATTGGTCACGATATTTGAAAAATAGCAAAAAGGAGGGAAAATACAGAAGTGGGGTTGAGATGGGAAGTTGGTGTCCGAGTGGATCGAAGTCACGATAGCTCAGGTGGTAGAGCAGAGGCGTATCTAGCCGAAGATCGTGGGTTCGAATCCTCCTCCTGACATTGACTTTTTTTATCTCAACTAAAAACCTTAATTAATTGAAAGAATTCTATATAAGTTCAAATTATAAGCACTCGAATTCATTAGGAGAGAACACCTCAGTCTTGCAAGCTGAAATGTATCCTAACAATGCTTGTGCTTTAGAAAATCGTAAAAGAGGTTACACTGACAAAAACTCATACATAGGTCAGTCAGCCAAGCGGCCATTAAAGAATCAGCATGTAAAAAGATTACATTTAAAATATTCATTGAATACATCCAAAAGCTGGGGAAAGGTAATAACCTGATGATATCATGGTTCCCAGAGCATAATGGAATTTTGGG